GCCCATGATGAACTTCTTGGCAGCTGGGGTGGATGGGGCGGTTTTGGTAGCGACGGTGTCAATGTCCGGGAGGAAGAAGACCGGACCTGCATTGGCGAAACTTTGGGAGAAGATCATGAGGGAAATCGGATTGCGTCGAATCAATGCGATCTGCACTGTCAACGCAGAGGTCAAAAAAAGGGCGGCTCAGATCTAGGAGCGACGAACGGACAAGGAGGTAGCAAGGATTCCGTGGGTTCCTTGCGCTGCGCATTGCTGCAGCCTTCTCTTGCGCGACCTCAGCAAACTCGATTGGGTGAAGCACACCGTTAAGAGGGGCCACACACTCGTCAAGTTCATCAGAAATCACCACAGCACAAACAGTCTGATGATGACAGTGGACGATTCGCTGTCTCTTTTGCGGCCCACGGAGGTGCGCTTCGGGTCAGTCTACCAAATGTTGGAGAGGATATCCGACAGGCGGGCGGTATTGAAGGACATGGTCCACGGTCGTAATGCAGCAAAGTGGAATGCGATCCGATGGTCCACGTCGAAGTTGAGGACCAGATCGGATCTGGTGTACTTCACACTGAGGAGTGATGAGTGGTGGACGAGGTTGAACAAGGTGGTTGAGGTGATGGAGCCCGTGTTCGGCCTCTTGAGGCGGATGGATCAGGACGGTACCGCTCTCACAAACCTTGTCGAGTACGACAACATGATAGAGAGGAAACTTAGCCATGTCGTTCTCACGGTGGAGCAGCGGGCGAGCGTGATGGAGAAAGTCAAAGATCACATGAAGATGATGCGGCAGCCCGTCCACGCAGCGGCCTTTCTTTTGGACCTGCGCAGGAGAGATCCAAGGTGGTTGCATGACCAAGACAGTGCGCTTGCGCAGAATGCCATGCGCTTTCTCTCAAGGCAGGTTGGAGGTGAATGGAAAGGGCAAGATCACCTTGACATTTGGAGTGACCTGAACGAGTTCCACACCAAACCTACAAGGAACGGCCCAAAAAGGAATGACACGAAGATGTGGGACCCCACAGCGAAGGCAGATGTTGACAAGAAGACACCATCAGAATGGTGGGCAGCACACGGTGGCGACGTGCCCGAATTGCAGAAGATTGCGATCAAGGTTATGGGCATGTGGAGCACCGCATCGCCAGCAGAAAGGAACTGGGCTTCCATGGACTTCATCCATTCCAAACAGAGGAACAAGTTGTAGCCAGAAAGCTTGGCAAAGCTAGTGTACATACACTGGAACATGCAGCTACTGCGTGTTCCGGAGACTAGGAACAACGGATTTGTGGACTTGTGGTGTGACTTCGTCGAGCCCGCCCCGGAGCCTGAAGAGAACGATGGATCGGTGTCGAAGGGGCCCGAGGATGAGGCTGAGAAGACAGAGGAGGAGCTTGTAAGGGAAAGGAGGCTCACAAAGACTCCGAAGGGAAGGGTTCCAAGAAATCTCGAGGACAAGGACGAAGAGCTCACGGATGACAGTGATTTGGATGACGAGTTGTGGAAGGGGAAGTGCGGATTCTCGGAGGACTCAACGAAGAGGATAACGACGATGACTCCGATTTCGAGCTACGATCGGAGCCGTCCGTCCCAGGCACGATGTACGTCGGAAGGAGACGGACCGGACGACAACCCAGAGAAGAGCCACGGTCGGTGGCAATGGCGCCCCGGGTAATGGAAACTGCACTGTACAATCCACAATCTGATGTCGAGTTCGCACGGCTAGACACGGATGTCGAGACGTTGCTGGAAACGAGGGTGGACGAAGATGAGGAGGATGCGAACCGTGCCAAGGCTATGGCTGACCGGGAGACTGAACTCGTCAACAAACGTATGATGGAGGAGGAGGCCCGCCGTGCAGCTATCCCAACCCAGAGAGAGATCGAGAGAGGTCTCAAACAAGCCAGGGAGCACCAACAGCAGATCAATCAGGCATTGGAGGTTGTTGAAGAAGGAGAAGAGGAGGAGGAGGAGCACCAGGCTGAGGTGGGAGATTACATGGAACAGGAAGAAGTGGCGGAGGGCACGGTGCAACCACAAGAGGGAGAGGAGATGGAGCACCAAGAAGAAGAGGAAGGCACGTTGCAAGGCGGGGAGGAAGAGGAAATGCAGCAGGAAGAGGAGGGGGAAGGATTGGTGCAGCAGAATATGCAGCACGGCGAGGTCGATACAGCCCGCGAAGACGAGCCCCGTCCCACAGCGAAAGCAGTCTACACACGCAGGCCCCGGCCAGCGGAGTTTCCGGAGTCCGAGGCGAAGATACCGGAATTCCCCGCAAGGAGGGAGGATGTCCAGCATGACAACCTGTGGGTGAGCCGAGTGGGCAGGAAGAGAAAGGAGCCATCACAGGACGCTCCTGCACAGCCAAAACGTCCTCGTGGCAGACCGTGAAAGCAGAAGACCGACACGGCCAGTCCACCGGTTAAAAAAAAGAAACAGCGCCTCAAGCGCAAGACGGTCGTGGAGGATGACCCGGAATCAGCTGACTGCAGCGAACAGCCATCTGAGGATGACGGCTGTGACGCTGATTCCGAATGAGATCAGCATGTCTACAAGTGTGTGTGACACTGTGTGTGTGTGTGTGTGTTTGTGTGTGTGTGTGTGTGTGAGAGAGAGAGAGAGAGAGAGAGAGAGAGAGACTTTGACCCCTTTGTGTGTGTGTGTGTGTGTGTGTGTGTGTGTGTGTGTGTGTGTGTGTGTGTGTGTGTGTGTGAGAGAGAGAGAGAGAGAGAGACTTTGACACTCAAATCTCCC